ATGTGTTTTAACTTAGGACATGGCTAGTTGAGGTTTCAGTTGTGAAATCTTTTGATCCATTAAGCATGAGAACAAGTACAAATGGTAAAACGTATAGTTTCTCCATCATGTTTTCTTTACTCATAAAAGTAAAGAAAGAATGGCATATAACAAGGGCCGTGATTACAGATCTTAATTATATGAAACTAGCTCCAGAATAAAATAAAGATGTGGCCTTCAAAAAGATTTTGCTAATGTTTTTAATCCACTTTACTAGAAATCTTTATATAGTATGTAGATTTGCATTAACTGAATAAAATAAAGTGTTAATAGGAAGGCATGTCTTTAAAAGTCATGAATCGTGCAACATACTTTGTGTGACCCGTTAGAGCAGTTTTGCCCAGATTATTAGGACTAATAGCAACAGGTGTATTACCGTTTGTATTAATAGCAATAAGCATAAAGCACCTGTGAACATTTTTGTTCATAGAGACTATCTAAATGAAAATATGAGTTTTTAACAGAAAGTGTAATTTCTTTCTTCATTGAATTTTATTTTTGAACATTAGCAAATGTTGTTGATTTCATTTTACATAGTCTAGCATTTGATTGTGAAGCATGCTCACCTTCCAGCTGAAATTCGGTGTCCCTCTGCCTGGCTACCCCTCAGTGATTGTGAATGTTGGTTTCCCTGCCACCAGGTGACTCTTGAGGATGTTTTTAAAGCTATTTAGTTTTATCAATGAATCCAACAGATGCCAGTTAAACTGTTATAAATGAAATAATCTAGCTCTTGGCTATGTTTTTACAGATTATTATGTTGAAGGAAAATAATGAATGTTTATAAAATAAACTTTTTTTTGGTAAATCTAAGAAAAATGAGAGTAATAACATAATGGAGAGTCCTCTGATGAATCTTATTACTTGTTTTTGTAATAAGATATTTAAAATAGAGTGTCTGGCGGGATGCTTGGGTGTCTCAGTCGTTAAGCGTCTGCCTTTGGCTCAGGTCATGATCCCAGAGTCCTGGGATCGAGTCTCGGGTTGGGCTCCCTGCTCAGCGGGAAGCCTGCTTCTCCTTCTGCCTGCCCCTCCCCCTGCTTGTGTTCTCTCTCTCTCTCTCTCTCTCTCTGGCAAATGAATAAATAAAAAATCTTTAAAATAGAGTCTGGCAAATGATGGAAGAGTCCTGTTCTACTGAAGAAATCCCACTTTCCCTTACCTCTCTCACCGTATTAAGCATGAATCTAGATTTTCTGTAGTGGTTACCCCTACCCTTCCTTTTCTTCTTAAATAACAAAAGTCTCCTGAACTTCTACTAATTTTTGTTCAGGAAACTAACTTTTAAGTGACTTTAAACTAGAGTTTTCATTCATTCTGCAAATATTTACTGAATCTTCACCATGAGTTGAGCCCTGTGCTTGATCTAGGGAGTTGATATAGATGTAGATTCTACCCTATACCTGACCTCAGGAGGCTTGTGGTCTTGTGTGGTGGAAGAGACACGTTCATGAGGATTGATGGTTACATTAATATGTGCTAAGTATGATAAGAAGACAAACATTTTGTTGGTAGAGTTGAGGGGATAGGGAGAAGCAGAAAAACGTCAGGCAGGGATTAGTCTTTGAGCAGGGACTGAAAGGGCGGGTAGGAGGTTGATGGACAGGGTTGAGAGTGTGGTGCGTGCCGAATAACCTAGGCAGGATTTTGGGAGGCCGGCAAATGTCAGGTGCCTTTGAGAACCAGCAAATTGTCCAGTTTGTCTGGTAAACCACTAGCATAGGGATATAGGAGAGGTCAAGCTACAAAGGCCTTTTAGCATTTTTTTTTTCCCAAATTGAATGTTAGCCCTTGAAGGTTTTTGAGCTAGAGGGTAACTCAGTGAGGTCAGAATACTAGCAGTATTTACCTGTTGGCTTCTTTGAGAGAGACAGAAGGAGGCTAAGGCAGCAGTTCAAGTGAGAAGAAATTCTTGGCTTAGGATGCTGGAGGGTGAGCATGGGGAGGAGAAGACATGAGCTGAATTTGTGGAACTTGTTCACGTTAGGGACAGGATGCCTGGAAAAGAGTCAAAGATTCTGTGTGCGTGTGTGTGTGTGTGTGTGTTTACACTTAAACCCATTGAAAATGGATTTGACTCTCTTGAGTCCAAGATGAGTCCTGAAGGGAAATTCTGGTGATGGAAAGCACCTGATTCTGTGGGGCTCCCTGTGGGCAGGAGCAGTCTTCTGCATCTCTGCGTCTCCAGTGCCAGGCAGCACATGCTGAAGGAATGTTTGTGGAAGGGATGAATATGGTAGATTTAGTTGGACACATAAGTGAGCTTACCATTGGGACGGGACAATCAAGTGATTAAGGGCACACCTAGGTTTGAATCCTGACTCAGCCATTCCTGAGTGCTCTTGAGCAAGTTACTAAACCTTTCCGTTTCCTCATGTGCAGAATGGAGGATAATAACAGTGTCTGTTGGGATATGCTATGATTATTCATATGAACTGAATGAATTGGTGTACATGAGACTCTTAAGCCCGCACCTGGAATATACCTGAGATAAAGGCTCCTCAGTCATTGGCTCTTGTCACTCACAGGGGAGTGTACATGTGGGTCTGATTGGCAGAAAAGTAACTGATGAGTTGGGGTGGGGGATTAGTAGCTTTAGGAATGCCTGAGAGCCTTGGCCTAGAGGTGGGAGAGGGGGTGGGAGTGAGGCAGTTTAGAGAGAGCACCCATTGAGGAAGTGCGAGGAGGAAAGGTAAAGGAGCAAGAACCAGGCTGGAGAGGCCGGAGGAGACCCGGAAAGTTCCACGTCAGCTCTCCCAGGCAAGGAGAATGTTTCAGGAGGGAAGGGGAGTAAAAAGTATGGAATGCAGGGAGCTCAGGGAGGGGGAGAGCTGAGCCTGGGCATTTGAGTTTGGTTGTTTGGGCAGGCATCCACCCACCTTAGAAGTTGTTGCTGGAGAGCAGAAGCCAGGTTACCTGTGTTTACCGAGAGTGTCAAGGACAGAGAGAAGATTCTGTTGGATAAAGAAGTAGAGGCAGAAATTAAAGGCAAGGTTTCTAAAATAGTTTAAAGACAATATGGCTTTTAAGTTTGTTCTAGCAAATAGCTAGGATGTGGTACAGAGACCACTGTACTTTACAGGTCCTTAGTGTTGTCCATGAGAATAGGCCCCCGGGGGTGTGCAGTGCTCAGTCTGTGAGGTCCTGCGTGGTAGCACTGGGGTGGTTTTGCATAGATAACAATATATGAATAAAGTGTAATGTATAATGTAATAAATATTAATAAGCTAATTATAATGAATGCAGTAAGATACATTATAACTGACACTTAATGGGTATTTACTATGAGCCAGCAGCATTATAAGTGCTTTGCACGTATTTCATTTAATTCCCCCCCGTCCCCAGCAGCTCTGAGATACAAGTGTTGTTGATCTTATTTTATAGCCGAGGGGGGACTAGGTAATACGCCCAGAGTCCCACAGCAGGTAAGTGTGTGCTGGGGCCACGATTACATACCAGGCAGTGCGGTTACAGAGCCCGGGCTGTTGGCAGCCACGCCATGCTGCTGCTTTTTATTTTGCTGCTGAGCTGTTTAGGACAGGCAAATGGCAGTAGGTATCATGTCTGACAAACAGGGGGTCTAAGGAGAGGAACCGTGACCCCGAAGGAAGGGGCCGGTGGGAGTGGGTGCAGCGCTGGTTCAGAGAGGGAGGGCAAGCCTAGAACCAGAGGCTCAGGAAGAGAGTCGGTGTGGAAACCAACCCACTTGCTCTCAGGGAGAGGAGAAAGAGGACTGGCAAAAATCCAGAGGATGAGAGGCAAGGGATTTTATGGGAGCAAGAGAAGGGTAAGACATTTTCAGAGAGGTTTTGAGTCAATAAGGGAGACCACCATCCACCTGGAGAACTTTGCAGTGGGTTTTTAAGAGTGGTCTCCCACTGGTAGTTTGGTTAGACCTAGTCCTGTTGGAGAAAGGGGCTGAAGGAGCCAGCTTTAGGGTGTGAGGTTCACTGATCTTGACAGCTTTCCAAGGCACCCTTCGGTGGAGCCGTGAAGCTAACTCCATCCAAGGAGAATGACTGTATTTTGGTCACCTGCTGCTGCTTTCATTTGCTTCCAGAAATGGAGTTGAATGGCAGTCGGAGGTTGAGGAAAGAGTCATATTGTCTTTTTTCCCCTGTTGTGAAAATGTCCCAGATTTCAGGAGGAAGAAAAACCCAAAGGTAGAAGAAACAAAAAAAGAAGGAAGTAGAGGCATTTTGAATTTGAGGGATGCTGAGGTGTGGATGACACTGAGGAGTGCCTAGCTCACACCTTAGGATTTTCTAGAAACCAGATATGTTGTTTAGAATAGTGCCTCTTAAGCTATCTGTAGCAAAGGGCCCTTTTTAATACTGTTCAAAGGTTGTGGACTGTTTATGTTTTGTCAAATATAATCAACACTGAATTAGAAAAAATAAAGAAAACAAAAACAGGGAATACAAGCCCAATTTGTTGTCTATAATTAGATTCAACAGACTCTGTGAAATTGCTAAAAAATAGTTTCTAAGTGCTTACTTGTAATTTCTGAAATTTGCGAGTCATGGACTTCTTGCAGGCTCAGAACAAACACAGGCTCGTACCTAACAGTGGGTTTCAGTTTATGTCATACATACACCTGCCAGGCAGGTGGTTCACGGGGCTCCCATTCCCCCAGGCTCTTTCCAGATTACCCAGCCTGGTGTGTGGAACATACTAGATGCTCAGCAAATAAACACTTATTAAACCAGCCCCTCTAAGAGATGATTTTTGTATGCAGAATAAAACTCAATATGATAGCAAGTCTCTCAACAGTAAGATAATTAAATTTGTTCATCAGGTAGTAGGCAGCATCTTAAAGCAGAGTGTGCTTTACCTTGTTTTGTAATTTTCAAAAATCACATCTTTGTAGCTTTCAAAAAACCTTAGTTACCAGAAAGCCATAGTTTGTTCGTGATGTGTAGACACACTAATCTCAGCCGCAGTTCATCTTTTGGCTCTAGATGGTGTCGGCTGCTAAGGTGTGTGGGGCCGCTAATGAGTCGCCATCAGTGAAGAGGCTCTGCCTGCATGTTGCTGATAAAGACTTTTCTTTTAAAGCTGGCCAGTGGTAAGTGGCTTTTCTGATTCCTTGGTGTTGTGTGTTCAAGGTGCTGTCAAAAAGAAGGACTACGGTGGCCAGCTGTTTCTCCTGAGGAATAGGAATTCTAGACCATCCCCATTCAGGGGGAGCCTTCTTTTGGCATGGAGAATCCTATTCCTTTCCTCGCCTCAGAGCTCACCTTGGTGAGCTTGACCTTCTCAGGCATGTATGAAAATTGCTGCCTTGAGTTTTGTAGATTGAAACAAAGCTTAGTTCTGAGCCACGGACCTGATCATTATGCTCTTCAGAAATGGTTGCTCTGATGGAATGCACTGGAATAATCTCATCTGCTTGATTGATACATTTAAAAAAATTAGTCATTCTGTCAAATACAGAGTAAACACAGCAGTCTGGAAAGAAGAATACCCAGTTAGGTCGCAGAGCTGAGCACTCTCTCAACAATTCCTGCATCACTTGTCTTAGTTGAGTTTAAATATTTTGCTGAATTTATTATCAGGATCCCCCAGTCAGGCCCAGCCTGCACCACACCCCTGATTCTGCCCAATTTGACACTGAGGACTAGTCAGAATACTGACAGGGTAACAGCCCAGCTGTCCCACTGTTCCTGCGAATGCCTTCACTGAGTTGCAATTCAAGTGGAATTGTAAATAAAGCAGCTCGTATTTCCTTAGGAAAGGTGTGTTTGGGTGTATGTTTCCTTTATTTAAATAAAGCATTCATTTCTAAGTGAATTTCTGGCATGTCAATCTTGTAGTATTTCTTAGGAGTCACTTGACTAATTTTGGCAGTCCATCTGGAAATGTGGTTTTGTTAGAAGGAGGATGTGTGATAATAGCAAGAGTTAGCAGTCTTGTGTTAATAGTTTGCCTTTGAATTTAGAACTAGAAAACAAGATGCTGATTGCAATAATTTGCGTTTGTGAAGCAATTTACTGCAATCTTTGCACATGTTCAGTGATACATATTAAATGCATTTGGGCTGTTTTAGGGGGGCGGGCAACATTTTTACCCTTCAAAAATAGTTTAGCAGTTATTACATTGAAAAGTGGAAACTTTAATTGTAATGATCTGTCTTTCCGTATTTCCCTTCTGTGGAAGTGTTTGGGTCCTGTGCGCAGCATTGTCTCTGGGCCTCCAACTCTGATTTGCGCCAAGACTCCTGATTAGAGAAAGCCCATGCACTGGTTTATAATGCTGCTACCTTGGTGTACCTGCAAATATATTAGCACTTGCAAACTGTAGTTACCTGATCAGAAAAGTATATTGTGGTATTTCAGGTGATATATAAAGAAATAGGGTTCCCTTGTGATCCTCAAGGTAAAATTTTTCAGGGTAGGTGTTACGTATCCCATATCGATGAATGGATTTATAATCTCACTGATGTCAGGACTGGTTTTAGAATGCGCCTGACTCCTGCTACAGAGGGCAGATGTCAGGGTGGTCATCTCTGGCTATTTAGTATTGACCTTTCCCTGCCAGGTGTCCATCAGCACTCCTTCCTGGCATCAGAACCTTCCCTTTTAAAAGATTGCTCCCTTAGCACTGACTTATTGTAATGGCTCCGGGGGTTGTAAGTTCCTTTGGATATTTGACTTCTTGATTAGAGAATGGCTATTTGCTTAGGTTGGTGATGTCTGCATCTTTGGTGCTGTTGCTGGGATGGCTTTTGTTCTGTGCTCTGTTAGATCATCAGCTTGGTAGTAAGCACCATGTGGCATTCTAGGGAAGAGGGCAAGGATTAGGGAGAGGGAGTGTATGGGTGTGGCTGCCGTGCAGTTTGTATAGTTAGGATTATCAGAGTGGGGTGCTGCTAGAGATAAGAGAATTGTTCTTGGGCTTATCTTTGGGGTCAGAGATTGGGCCATGATCCCATATCTTTGAATTCCTGACCACTGGCCTCCTCTGACACCTGCCGAACTGAGAGGGAGGCTCTAGATGGGCCTCTAAATAAATGATTGAATGCTCTGGAGCTTTGAGCACAGAGCTCCAGGTAGGCACCTTCACTATAGACCAGAGATCAGCCTCTGGGGCTCTTCCTATGCTATACAGAGGGGACTAGTTCCTGTACTGGGAAACCAGTTCCAAGAACTCAAGAAATCCAATCTAAAGAGAAAGGTCAAAAGAGGGTACTCCCTCAAAACCATTACTCCCAGGAGCAGGGCTAAACCTTTTAGCCTTCTATCACTGGTAGATCCACTGCCGACCACCTAGCTCCTTGGTGAGTCCCACTCTTGACCTCAGAAGTTCTCCTTCCTGATGATAGGAAGATTGGGATTATCTCTTGGGGCTAGAGTGTGCCACCAACAGTCCTCTTGTAATGTGTGAGTGCCTGAAGTTGGCAGATTCAGTGTTCCTTGTGGCACTCACTGCTGTGGGCTGGGTCCATCCCCTGAGGGAGTCTCTACCACAGTGTCACATGCCTAGTGCTCTGGAGACTGCATGACTCACCTGGGGGCTTTTCTAGCTCTGTGATGTGGGAGTTTCTTTCTTTCTCTGGGCTTCAGTTTCCATTTTAAAGAGGGAATAGTAACATTCCTTTGTCTTGGGATATGTCGAGTGTTTAACACAATGCCTAATGTTTAACTTTATTAGTTTGCTTTTGCTTTTTGTTATAGCTACTGTTTCACTCATTTAAGTCATCTGTGTTGGTGAGGCCCAGGGGACAGATTCCAATACTTAGTTCCTTGGGGGGTTTCCCTGCTGTTGTTTGGAAGAGCAGCAGGCCAAGTAGGAGTGGATGAGTGCGCATCTCCACTATGATGGCGCCCCTCCTGCCTAGTCATTACTACTCGTTCCACACTTGGGCTTGCCAGGACTGAGGGGAAGCAAGGCCAAAGCATTTTTGGAAAGAGCAAGGTGTGTCTCTGATTTCATATAAGGTAACATAAGTTTTCATGTTTGAAAGTGACTAAGAGAAGGACTCCAAGAAGTAATAGAGGAGAGGAATGAGATTAGAGAAGGAAGACTCTACCCTTCCCTCTAGCAGGGCCGCTGCATTGTAGACAGTATCTAACCTACATAGCTGTGTTCGGCAGCCCTGCCTCGAGTGACCACACATAGAAAGTGCGGCATTCCTTGGTGTCCTCGTTCAGACTGTGTCCTCCATGCTTGTCTGGTGAGTGCTGTGTGTCTTTTAAGACTCCTCTGTGAAGTCTTTGTTAATCCTTCCACGCCTGGTAGAATTGACTGCTTCTTCCTCTGCTTTCCTCCCCTCCAGGCAGACTTTTAAAAAAATAAAATAGTGGTTTTATTAGTATTTTCCTGATGAAATCAGAATCACATATGTTGGAGCTATGAAGAAATCTATGCTAAGTACCAGTTCTTCCAGACAGGTCTCAAATGATGGGCGTTTTCTCTCCTCTAAGCAGATTTTATCATAGTCCATGTAATTGTATTTATTTGTTAGTTTTCCTCCCATTAGGGTGAGTTTGTTGAGGGCAGGAGTCCAGACATACTTGGCATCTTTACCTCCAGCACTGACGCCAGGGCCTGTACATGGGAAACAGGAGGTGTCTGTGGTGTTTGCACAAGGGATGAGGGAGGGGCTCTAAGCCCTCGAGCTGAGGACTAAAGAGTTTTAGGATCTCACGGTAAAACATCGACATTCGGCCACGATTTGTGTGTCTGCTCTGTGCCGGGCACCAGGGCTGCATTTGTGGGCAGGACAGGGCTGCCTGGGGTGTCACAGGTGGATATGGGTATGTGGCTTCACTACAGAATTAGGCTCTTCCTCACAGTTCTTCTTACATTCACTCATGAGAGTGCAGTAGGTGCCTCAGCTCTTGGCTTCAAGAGGGCATTTTTAAGTGTGTGTGTGTATGTTTAAAACTTAATTTTTTCTTGGACAGATGCTTTATTAAATATGTATCGTGCATATTTTCTTAAATCTATTCAGATGAAGTTTTTATGTCATTTGAATTCTGTAGCATTTAATGAAGGAGTCCTTTTTTTTTAAAGGTTGCTTTCCAAAGTTACTTAGATTCCCTTTCCCTGCGAGAACAGTCTTTATCAACATCAAGCAGCAGAGGGCACTATAGTTCAGGAGATGAAGCTGCAAAAGTAGTTCATTGATTAACTATTTTTTTTAAACATGGAAGCTATGGAGATACTATTATACTTCTTCTCTGAAAGCATACAGCAACTGTGTTAATAAATAACAACTGTAGGGGCACCTGGGTGGCTCAGTCGTTAAGCGTCTGCCTTCGGCTCAGGTCATGATCCCAGAGTCCTGGGATCGAGCCCCGCATCGGGCTCCCTGCTCGGCGGGAGGCCTGCTTCTCCCTCTCCCACTCCCCCTGCTTGTGTTCTCTCTCTCGCTGTGTCTCTCTCTACCAAATAAATAAAATCTTAAAAAAAAAAATAACAACTGTAGTCTTTATATATTTATGTCTTGTCTGAAATGAGAAGGAAATAAAAGTATTGATGGAAAAGAATCAAGTGAATATAGACAAAAATAGGCTGGGGACCTTTTCTGGAGCACTTCCAATCCAGACTCAGGTTTTTTAAGACTCAAAAAATGTCCAGATGTTTAAGGCCAAAGATCAGAAGAGAACATCTTTTAAGGTCATAAATCAAATCAGTAGGGAACATAGTGTGCTTTTCATGGAAGCCTCCTGGCTTCCATGAAAATAATGGGGATAAATGATACTTTTGCTCTTTGATGGCTGAAAAACATCTAGATTGGATGTTTGTTTTCTAGACATTGGTAGGAGAATTTTTTGTGGACCCAGGTTCTAATAAATTTTTCTTTCCTTGGTACATAACTAGGTTTGTTGCATTTCCTAGAATCCCTACCAAAAAAGATTTTCTCTGGCATAGAAGTATCAAAGGCTTGAAACTTGCAAGAGTTCTAGACTATAGGAGTATGTTTTGAAGAAAAGGAAATATAAGAGTTTTGGAACTTAGAAGGTCACATCAGCATTTTAATTTGTCAAATGCCAGTGAAAAAGTTTTTGTTGCCCACCCCTTTTTTTTACACTTTTAAAAAACTGTCTTATTGGGATATACTGTACATATTATAAAATTCACCCATTTATAGTTTACAATTCAGTGGTTTTTAGTATTTTTACAGAATTGTGCAGCCATCAACAGAACAAAATTTTGCAACATTCTCATCATCCCAAAAAGAAACCTTATACTGATTATCATTCATTCCCCATCCTAACCTGCTTTGACAACCACTGTTCTACTTTCTGTCTTTATGGATTGGCCTATTCCGGACATTTCATATCAATGGAATTATACAATAGGTGGTCCTTTTTGTGACTGACCTCTTTCTCTTTTTCTTTTTATTATTATGTTATGTTAATCACCATACATTACATCATTAGTTTTTGATGTAGTGTTCCATGATTCATTGTTTGCGTATAACACCCAGTGCTCCATGCAGAACATGCCCTCTTTAATACCCATCACCAGGCTAACCCATCCTCCCACCCCCCTCCACTCTACCTACCTGAACAAACTGAACCCTCAGTTTGTTTTTCAGAGTCCATAGTCTCTCATGGTTCGTCTCTCCCTCTGATATCCCCCTTCATTCTTTCCCTCTTGCTATCTTCTTTCTTTTTTTTTTAACATATGATGTATTGTTTCAGAGGTACAGATCTGTGATTCAAGTCTTACACAATTCACAGCGCTCACCATAGCATATACCCTCCCCAATGTCTATCACCCAGCCACCCCATCCCTCCCACCCCCCACCACTCCAGCAATCCTCAGTTTGTTTCCTGAGATTAAGAATTCCTTATATCAGTGAGGTCATATGATACATGTCTTTCTCTGATTGACTTATTTCGCTCAGCATAACACCCTCCAGTTCCATCCATGTCGTTGCAAATGGCAAGATTTCATTCCTTTTGATGGCTGTATAATATTCCATTGTATATATATACATATACATATATATATATATATATACACACATATACATACCACATCTTCTTTATCCATTCATCTGTCGATGGACATCTTGGCTCTTTCCACAGTTTGGCTACTGTGGACATTGCTGCTATAAATATCGGGGTGCACGTACCCCTTCGATCCCTACATTTGTATCTTTGGGGTATATACCCAGTAGTGCAATTGCTGGATCGTATGGTAGCTCTATTTTCAACTTTTTGAGGAACCTCCATACTGTTTTCCAGAGTGGCTGCACAGCTTGCATTCCCACCAACAGTGTAGGAGGGTTCCCCTTTCTCTGCATCCCTGCCAACATCTGTCGTTTCCTGACTTGTTAATTTTAGCCATTCTGACTGGTGTGAGGTGAGATCTCACTGAAGTTTTGATTTGGATTTCCCTGATGCTGAGCGATGTTGAGCACTTTTTCATGTGTCTGTTGGCCATTTGGATGTCTTCTTTGGAAAAATGTCTGTTCGTGTCTTCTGCCCATTTCTTGATTGGATCATTTGTTCTTTGGGTATTGAGTTTAAGAAGTTCTTTATAGATTTTGCATACTAGCCCTTTATCTGATATGTCATTTGCAAATATCTTCTCCCATTCTGTCGGTTGTCTTTTGGTTTTGTTGACTGTTTCCTTTGCTGTGCAAAAGCCTTTTATCTTGATGAGGTCCCAATAGTTCATTTTTGCCCTTGCTTCCCTTGCCTTTGGTGATGTTTCTAGGAAGAAGTTGCTTCGGCTGAGGTCGAAGAGGTTGCTGCCTGTGTTTTCCTTTAGGATTTTGATGGACTCCTGTCTCACATTTAGGTCTTTCAACCATTTTGAGTCTATTTTTGTGTGTGGCATAAAGAAATTGTCCAGTTTCATTCTTCTGCATGTGGCTGTCTAATTTTCCCAACACCATTTGTTGAAGAGACTGTCTTTTTTTCCATTGGACATTCTTTCCTGCTTTGTCAAGGATTAGTTGACCATAGAGTTGAGGGTCCATTTCTGGGCTCTCTATTCTGTTCCATTGATCTATGTGTCTGTTTTTGTGCCAGGACCATACTGTCTTGATGATGACAGCTTTGTAATAGAGCTTGAAGTCCGGAATTGTGATGCCGCCAGCTTTGCTTTTCTTTTTCAACATTTCTTTTTCAACAATTCTCTCCCATTCCTCTGGGTGACTGACCTCTTTCTGTTAACATAATTTAATGTTTATCTGTGTTGTGGCATGTATCAGTACTTCATTCCATTGTGGATATACCATATTTTGTTTATACATTCATGAATTGATGAAAATTTAGATTGTTTTCACTTTTAGGCTATTATCAATAATGCTATGAATATTCATGTACGTGTTTTTGAATGGACATATATTTTAATTTCTCTTGGGTATATATTTAAGAGTGGAGTTGATGGTCATATGGTAACTCTGTTTAACATTTTGAGACACTGCAAACTATTTTCCAAAATGGCTGCGCCATTTTACATTCCCACCAGCAGTGTAGAAGGGTTCTGGTTTCTCAGGATCCTTACTAGTACTACTGTTGGTTTAATTAGCCATCAATCCTAGTTGAGTATGAAGTGATAGCTCTTGTGATTTTGATTTGCATTTTCCTAATAACTAATGATGTCGAGCAACTTTTTACATGCTTATTTGCCATTTACATATCTTTGGAGAAATGTTTATACAAATCCTTTGCCCATATTTTGAGTTGTCTTAATTATTGAATTGTACAAGTTCTTTATATTTTCTGTATACAAATTCCTTATCAGATATTTGATTTGAAAGTATTCTCTCCCATTCTGTAGGTTACCTTTTAATGATGGTATCTTAATTTTGTTGCAGGCTAGTTTCTCCATTTTTTCTTTGACTTTTGTGTTTGGTATCCTATCTGAGTAACCATTGCCATGAAGAGTTACTCCTGTGTGAGTCTTCTAAGAGTTTATAATTTTAGCTCTTTAAGTCTGTGACCCATTTTGAGTTAATTTTTGTATATGGTGTGAGGTAGGGGTCCAACTTCGTTCTTTTTACATGTGTATATCCAGTTGTTCTGGCACAGTTCATTGAAAAGACTGTTCTTCTGCCATTGAATTGTGTTGGTACTCTTGTCAAAAATCAACTGACCACATACTTAAGAGTTTACTTCTGGACTTGCAGTTCTTTATCGTTGATTTATGTGCCTCACCTAATGCCAGTACTACAGTGTCTTCATTACTGTAGCTTTATAGTAAGTTTTGAAATCAGAATGTGTGAGTCCTCTAAATTTGTTGGTCTTTTTCCAAATTGTTTTGATGATTCTGGGTTCCTTGAATTTCCATATTAATTTTATGATCAACTTGTCAGTTTCAGCAAAGAAACCATCTGGAGTTTGATAGGTATTGCATTGAATCTATAGATTAATTTGGAGAGTATTGCCATCTTAATATTATTAAGTCTTTCAGTCTGTGAACATTAGGTGTCTTTTTATTTATTTAGACCTTCTTTGATTTTTCTCCATAATGTTTTGTAGCTTTCCGTATGCAAGTCTTATATACTTCTTTTGTTAAATTTATTCCCAGTTGTTTTAATCTTTTTTATGTTATTATAAATAAAATTATTTTTCTCAACTTCACATTTAGATTGTTAACTGCTAGTGTATAGAAATACAGTTGATTTTTATCAATCTTGTATTCTGCAGCATCATTTGAACTTGCTTATTAGTTCTAATATCCTTATAGTAGATTCCTTAGGATTTTCTATATACAACATCATGTCATCTACAATTTCTTCCTCTCTAATCTTGATACCTTTTATTTAATTTTCTTGCTTAATTGCCTTGGCTAGAACCTCTAGTACAATGTTAAAAAGAGGTGGTAGGAACAGACATCCTTGTCTTGTTTCTGTCTTTAGGGGAGAAACTTGTAGCTTTTCACCATTGAATGTTGGATATTTTGTAGATGTCCTTTATTAGATTGAGGAAGTTCCCAGTTATTTGTAGTTAGTTGAGTATTTTTATTATGTAAGGGTCTTAAATATTGCCAAATGCCTTTTCTGCATCTATTGAGATGATACCTGGGTTTTGTCCATTATTCTACTAAGTGGTGTTTTTCATTGATTGATTTTCAGATGTTAAACCAACCTAATATTCCTGGGATTTTTGCATCTATATTCACAAGGGATATTGAACTTAGTTTCTTTTCTTGTTATATCTTTGTCTGGTTTTGGTAGCAGGGTAATACTGGCCTTATAAATGAGATGGCAAATGTTCTTTTCTGGTTTTTGGGAAGAGTTTGTAAAAGATTAGCGTTCTTTAAATCCTTGGTAAAATTCACCAGTGATGCCTATCCTTTTTTTTTTCTAGAAGTTTTGAAATTACTAAAACTATTTACTTGTTAGGGGCCTGTTCAGATTTTCTGTTTCTTCTTGAGTCCAATTTGATAATTTCTGTCTTTCTAGGAATGTATCCATTTCATTTATCTCAATTTTTGTCATACAGTTGTTCATGGAATTCCTGTAATAATCTTTTCTATTTTTGTAAGCTTGGTGATGATGTCCCCTCTTCCATTCTTGATTTTACTAATTTTCTCTTTTCTTTTTTTTTCTTAACTAGCTTAAAGTTTATCAGTTTTACTTATCTTGTTGCCCACTTTTAAAATTGCTTCAACAAAAAGTTTATTTGCCTTTCTTTTTAGGATTGATTTCTTTATCCCAGGAGTCTCTGTGGTTGGTGGGTTCTCAATATGCTCCAGCCCCAGACTACTAGAACAAGAGAGAATGATAGAATTGGCAGTGAAATATGCGAACCACCCTCCTGCTCTCTGGATTCACAATCAGGTGAGCAAACCTGTTTAAATTTGGAGCTCTGGGCATCTCTGCCTACCCACAAAATTTGTGTTCAGCTCACTTAATGCACCTAAGAAACCAAGGCTTGAGTGGGAAGGGTACATGCTCACAGAGAGCTCCCCCACATCCAGAATTCAGACTCCAGAATGGTCAAAGAAGCAGAATCTTCTTGATGCATTAGGGAAGACTCAAAGATATTTTGGGATCTGAAAATACCTTCTGGGTTACTAGTGTTCAGTTGAACACTACTTTAGTATTGAAACATTTTACTTTATATGTAAGTTTTTTTAAATTGGCTCTCTGTGTGTCTTATAAATGGTAAACCTATAAATCAGATTATTTTGTCCTAACTATCCTAAATAAAAGGAATTAAACTATTATTCTGTCATTTGGAAAGGAAGTGATTTCTTTTTCTTTTTTTTTTTTAAAGATTTTATTTATTTGACAGAGAGAGAGCACGAGTAGGTAGACAGGCAGGGAGAGGGAGAGGGAGACGCAGGCTCCCTGCTGAGCGTGGAGCCCGATGTAGGGCTCAATCCCAGGACTCTGGGATCATGACCTGAGCCGAAGGCAGACGCTTAACCGACTGAGCCACCCGGGCGCCCCAAGGAAGTGATTTCTCATTCTATCCCGCTTGTGCCTAGAGCTGAGCACTGCTAAATCCATGGTGCCATTGCCTCTGGAGAGCTCTTCACATGAGATCCTGAGAGGGAGTCCACGTTTGCAGCTAATAACTCATGTTTCACTAAGGGACTCAACACAATTCTACATAAGCTGACTGTTCATTACCTCTGAGAACTCTGATAACAAAGAATGAGCTCCGCACAAATCAGTTGTTTGTCTTCTTAGTTTTTGACCATCCCTTTTATTTCTAGAGTGCCTTCTATATTTACCAACAACTTTTATCCCATCCCATTTTCTTATCTCCTTTGCCAGAAAGGAATGTACCAGTATAAATATTGTAGCTATAAACTGATTTTAAAATTTATATGGAAGGGCAAAGGGACTAGAATAGCTAAAACAGTTTTGAAGAAGAATAAAGTGGCAAGTATCACATTGCTCAAATTTAAGATTAAAATACAGCTATGGTAATCAAATTAGTATTGGTGAAGGGATGGACACATAAATTGATGGAACAGAATAAAGAATTCAGAATTGGATCCAACACACATATGGCCATTTGATTTTTGACGACAGTGCTAAAGAAATTCAGTGGCGAAAGGATAACCTTTCCAACATATATACAGTGCTGGGACAGTTGTTTATCCATATGCAAAGAAACAACTTTGTCCTAAGTGTCCTACTTTATGTTGAAAATTCCCACAAAATAGGTTATAGATGTAAGTAGAAGACACAAAACCGTAACAATTTTAGAAGAAAACATAAGAAATATTCTGAACTTGAGGGTAGGTGTGTTAGGACATGACACCAAAAGCCAGATCCATAAAAGAGGAGATTGATATATAGGAGTTAATCAAAATTAAAAACGTTTTTCTGCAAAAGACACTGCTACAGATTCGATGAAAGGTATTTGCACGTTAGATATCCAACAAAGGATATGTAATATCCAGAATACATAAAGAACTCTCAAAAGTCAGCAGAAAGAAAACAAGCATAATTTAAAAATGGGTAAAAGCCTGAATAGACACTTCAGTAAAAAGGATATAAGGACAGCTAGTAAGCAATGACAAGATGTTGACCATCATTAGGGAAATGCAGATTAAAACTGGATATAGGGGGATATCTCTACACACCTATTAGAATGACTAAAGTTAAAAGTTCTGACAATACCAAATGCTGGTAAGGATGTGGAGTGACTGGAACTCTCTTCTATAGCTTAGATTGCTAGCAGGAATGCGAGATACTGCTGCCAATCTGGAAGACATTTTGGTAGTTTTGTATGAAATGAAACAATCATTTATTGTAAGTCCTAGTAATACTGCTCCTGGATCTTTATTCTAGAGAAACAGAAAGCTCTGTTCATATAAAAACTTGTACGTGAAACATTTATAGTGGTTCTATTCATAATTGTCAAAAACTGGAAACAACCCAAATGTCCCTCAAAAGGTGAACAGATAAACAAATTGTGATCCATTCATACAATATATTGTTATTCAGCGTAAAAATGGATGAACCATTGATGCACTTGACTTGGGTGAGTCTTAAAGGCCACATATTGAGTGAAAAAAGCCAGTCTCAAAGGTTAGGTACTCTGTAATCCCATTTTTGTCGCACTCTGGAAGACAGAAATACAATGATGGAAAACAGATGAGTGGTTAACAGGGGTTAGGGGTAGGGAAAGGTGTGAGCATAGAGGGAAAGCAGAGGGAGGTTTTGGGGGTGATGAAACTGTTCTGTATCTTGGTTTTGGTGGTGATGGAACTGTTCTGTATCTTGGTTTTGGTGGTAGTTAGGCAGATCTGTGTGTGTGTGTGTGTTAAAATCCACAGAACTATACTCCCTCCCCCGCTCCCCCCAAAAAGTTTTACTGTAAGATAATTAAAAAAAAAATAAAAGGTTTTTAAATCTATAGGGGCATAAAAAAAGTCTCTTCTAATTATGATTTCCGTGTCAAGTTGTATCTGTTCAGAATAAGGCAGCTGCTTGCCTTAGCATTTCCATTCTCAATGTATCCTGTCACATTTTTACCCTCCGACCTTCTGAGTCATTCCTTCCATGTGTCCTCAGCTGCCTCATTCCTTTTTAGATTCTCTTTGGATTTCCCACCCATTACTGTCTGTAGGCTATATCCTGAATCTCTAAAAAATGCCGTGGGGGTGGGGCTGGCAAGGTTTCCATGTGCCCCTTGCCCAGGGTTACAGTGAGTTTGGCTATCTCGGCTCCGAGTGCCATGAGTTCCCTCCCGTTATCTGCCTCCCACGTGACCTGACCTGGTCCTGCTCCACAGCTCCCTGCTTGGTTTCATGCCTCATTGGCATTTCAATGAAGGAACTTACTCTTAGAGGCTGTAGAAAATCTCCAAGTGGCATTGCTTGAATGCACATTTTAATTGTAGTGCCAGCTCCACTCTGCCCGGTGGGAGTTGCAAACAGCCTTTATGAAGTCAGATTTGTCTTGGAACCATTCTCAGGTGGCTGTTTTCCTCCTGAGGGGTTTGTCTTATTAAGCTATTAGAGTGGACAATGGAGGCACGTGAGTGTCTGGGTGGCAGCAGGCTGCTCTGTTGGGACATGGGATAAAGTGCCATAAATGTCTTCCTTTATTTTATCTGCTTTGGCTCAGGCTCCTGGCAGGGTAAAGGGTTCTAGACAGCTATTGTGTGCTGGGCTCCAGCTGCTGTGGAAAAGTTGTTTATTTCACAAGTGGAAAATCTGTACCCAAAACATGGCCGCGTAATCGAAGGTAATGTCCTTTTACTCACTTCCGTATTATAGGGTACAGTACTTGGAGTGTTGTGTTCATGCTACCTTGGCAGCTTTTATTGATCAGTAAAAGACAAAGATGGCTTTTCATTCTTTCCAGATGCTAGCAAATAAGAAGATAGATCTATTTAAGATTATTTTGTCACTAAGGAGATGGTAGGCACATTTTTTTTCTTTCTTTCTCTTTTTGCCAACTTCAGGGTTTTGAAAATACTCTGTCTCAAAAACAGTACCCTAAAGGCTTTGTTGTAATTATTAATCCTACTAAAGATGACCGTTGGAGAAAATGATTTCTTTCTCATTTCTTAGTTTCTTTTACTCTTTGATTCTTAGTGATAAAGAGAGAGGTGTACAGGCAAGCAAGATGGGGAGGGAAGGGACAGAGAGATTCAGTCTTTTGGCATCATTAGGCAGAACTTCTCATACCATAGATTCTGTTTCTGAGACTTGAAAAGGAAGGGCATTTTAAAGCACTTTGGTGGCCAGTGTAGTAAGTCCTAGATTGTACTTATTCCTAACAGAATGCTCCCTTGCTGCTCATTTCTTTTGTCGAAAATAAAAACCCACTTCTCATCCTTCGTGTAAAAATGGCCTACCTATTTAAAATTGTTTAGTTTAGATGTTTTTCTTTTCCCTCAGAGAAAGGATTTTCCTTCATTTGATAGTTCTTTACCAGAAAGGACCTCTTTTGTGAATGAAACTAATTATTGTTTTTTCTTACATTTCTCTGAGACTAACTCTTCTTTAAGATTTAACTTCTTCTTTAAGTTGTAAAGCCCCAAATTAAATTCATGTCAAAAAGTACTTAACTGGGGGCGCCTGGGTGGCTCAGTCGGCTAAGCGTCTGCCTTCGGCTCGGGTCATGATCCCGGAGTCCTGGGCTCGAGCCCCGCATCGGGCTCCCTGCACAGTGGAGACCTCTTTCTCCCTCTCTCTCTGCTGCTCTCCCTGCTTGTGCTCTCTCTCTTAAATAAATACATAAAATCTTAAAAAAAAATAAAAAAAAATAAGTACTTAACGGCCTACCTGCCATGCAGGGCTCCAAGGAGTGAATGTTGAGGATTTGGTCTTTAAAAAGCACATGATAACTTATTGCTTCTTAGGAGGGAGTTCATTTTGTTGATTTACATCAGGAACATGTAATGGAGCCAACTTTTGCTCTTCATATAAATTTCTTTAGTTCTGGGTTGCCTTTTAGTGGCAGGGAAGAAAGGAGCAGGCACCCCCAGCACTTTTTCTTCCCTGGCAGCTTCAGTGACTAAAACCCCCTCCTGTAATAGAGCTAGATGGCAGCAGTCCAGCAGGGAATTCTTCCCCGCCGGGTGTCCCGTGATGGCCACCATAGCCCTGTGAGGTGAGCAGCACAGGTGTTGGTACCCATTTAACAGATGCGGCAGCAGAGGCTCAGAGAAATGAAGGAACTTGATGGATTTCATAGGCTGTGATTAAAATTCAGTCTTCTGACTCCTACATCAGTACATTTTATCCAAGCTAGGGGTCTCAACCCTATCAGATCCGCTGCCCTCTTTCTAGAACCCCCCTGAAATGAAATTCAAAGTTAATGTAATCAACATATGAAAGATTTTTTTTTTTTTTTTTTGGTGACATAATTCTCTAAATGTAATGCCAAGGAGAAATTAAAAAAAAAGGGGGGGGATTCCTAGTCACAGACTGTGTATTTCACTAGATCAGTGGTTGGGCAGATCTTAACTAGAAGAGAGAATTAAGTAGTCAGACGGCTGTTCCTCAGCGTAGAATCAGCATGAGTACACCGTCTACAGGTGCAGATGGTGCTGCCTGTTGCCTGGTGACGGGAGAACCACACGTGCATGTTACCAACGGGGATGTGGCTGGCCAGAACAGTGAGCATACTTGGTAATGTTCTGGATACAATAGAGTACAGTCTACACGATGGGTACATTCTGGAACATTCGGACTCCACTAGATCCGTCCGTACACAGTGCTTTGGGTTTTTTGTAAATGAGTTAGGATCTAGTCTCAGATCATTACAAACCAGTTTTCACCTCCATGTATGTCCCATGGGCCATTCAGAAGTTTCTGCAGGGCAATCCTGTGCTGCTAAACTGGCTGAGTACAAAAAGTCGTGATCTGCAGCCTTTGCTGATTTCTGTGTTGCAGATACTCCCTCAGTGGCTGAATTCAAACTACCAGTAGGAAGTGGTTCACGTGGCGCCTGGGTGGCTCAGTCGGTTAAGCGGCTGCCTTCGGCTCAAGTCATGATCCCAGAGTCCTGGGATCGAGCCCCACGTCGGGCTCCCTGCTCAGTGGGGGAACCTGCCTCTCCTTCTCCCTCTGCTTGCTGCTCCCCCTGCTTGTGCTCTCTGTCAAATAAATAAATAAAATCTTTAAAAAAAACCCAAACAAACCTGGTTCACGAAATTCCTCAAAATTTAACCATCAGCTGAGTGGGAGCCAGCTCCCGGGCACTGCTAACTGCACAAGACATCTAGCTAGCATCTCTGGTCCTGCCCTCTAAATGCCAGTTGGGTTTTCCAAACCATCGTGACAATAAAAAAGTATCACCACGTGTTCCCAAAACACCTCCTTTTGGGGTCTCTGTCACCCTCATGGAGAACCAGTGCATTCAGCTCTGATGGTCGTTCGGGTCTAAGTGACCTCACCCACTAGGTGCTTTGCTGGGTCGGGGGTGTGGCAGTCGCCCCCCGGGGAGTGAAGCCTCTGTGCCTGTTCTTGCTGCTCCGGGGAGAAGCGCACAGCACCGACCAGCACCGCGGGGCCGGCCTCAAGCCTGCGCAGCAGAGCTCTGGCTGTGCCCTGCTGGTGGCCCGGAGGGGCCCCCCGGTACCCAGCGTGTTCTCTGACGAGCCCAGGGCAGCCGCAGCGTAATGACACCTGCCCCAGCCTGCCTGTCTCAGCTCCATGGCTTCGAGCAGAAAAGGAAACTCATGCTTCAGAGCTGTGCCCTGAGTCCAGTGCCTGTTGCGCAGCCCGGCTCATCACCTAAGAAGTGAGCAAGTGGCAGAACGACTGAAGGGAGTCCCCCTCTCCTGGGTTCTGGAGCGGCTAGGCGGTACGGATCACAAAGGCAGAGCAGCGAATGGCCTGTGTGATGGGCGAGTGGGACAAGTGGGAGCCGGCTGTGAAAACAGTCCTCAGCACGGATAAAAATGCAGGAGGCAGAGGCAGTCCGTTTTCTTGAAGAAGAGCGGTAGGTGTAAGGCCTGTGCCCCAAAGGACTCACGGATCTTTTCTTTCCTGCCATAGTGTACACTTGACTCTGAAGTGGCCGTGAGAGTGGGTGGAGAGTTCTTCTTTGACCCGCAGCCTGCAGATGCCTCTAGAAACCTCGTGCTGATTGCAGGAGGGGTCGGAATTAACCCCCTGCTCTCCATCCTGCGGCACACGGCCGACCTCCACAGAGAACGGGCCCACAGAGGGAGCGGCTACGAGATGGGGACGACAAAGCTGTTCTACAGTGCCCAGAATACCAGTGAGCTCCTGTTTAAGGTAGGGGAGAGACGGACACTTGCTAGCGTGCCGTGAGCAAACTCGTGGCGGGGGGGAGTCGTCTCCGGAACGTTCTTCCGTTACTCTGTCTTCTCTACGAGAGTTCGTTGCAACAGAAGGCTTGACGTTAATCATGTTCAGATGGGGAATTAACCACCACTTCTTAGGACAGAAAAACAGCTTGTGTTGAGGGGCTCCCGGTGAAGTGACAGGACGGGCCAGGACGGGTTTGGTGGGCCTGAATCTGGAGGCCGATGAACAGAAAGGTGGCCACAGCCCCGAGCATCTGCGGAGTCAGGAGACCTACAGGTTCTATAACAGAGGAGGTGAAGCGCGCGGAGTTCGGCCCCCGCCGGGTGACGGAAACCCCCCTCGGCTGCATCTGTTGAAAGGAAGTACACTTGACAGGAGAAGGCTTTCACTCTGGATTGCCTTGCAGCTGCAGGGATGAACAAAAGAACAGAAACAGTTAAAAGACACAACTGTGGTCAGTGAAACTGCTGCTTAATTGCCACTGCTTGAGAAAAAGGGAAAAGAAAAAACTCCCGGAGAGTTAGTAATATGCTTGTTAGCATATTCAGATTTCAATTAAAGCCAACTAGCCCTCTGTGCTGTGAATGCTCCGGCCTGCGAGGCTGCAAACAATACGTCTCTTTTTTTTTTTTTTTTTTTTAAGATTTTATTTGACAGAGAGAGACAGCGAGAGAGGGAACACAAGCAGGGGGAGTGGGAGAGGGAGAAGCAGGCTTCCCGCGGAGCAGGGAGCCCGATGCGGGGCTCGATCCCAGGACCCTGAGATCATGACCTGAGCCGAAGGCAGACGCTTAACGACTGAGCCACCCAGGCGCCCCAACAATACGTCTCTTAAGTAGAGAGGAAGAGAGTGGCAGACGTGTGCAGACTGGGAGTCGGGGTTCAGCGGCAGAGGCTGTGCACATCTGTTTTGATTTTTTAAAATTGTAGTGTGACCAAATACGTTTGACATTCCAGAAAAATATCCTCGATTTAGTAAATGAATTTCCTGAGAAGATTGCGTGCAGTTTGCATGTTACGAAACAGACAGCCCAAATCAGTGCAGAACTCAAGCCATACGTCACAGGTGAGTCCCCCGGGGATATTTTGACTATGTCCACGCAGCTGTTTGGTGGCACGGACCGCTGGTGGACGGTAGTTGCTTTCCTGGGATGTCACTACCTGGGGAACTGGGAGGTGATTCACCGTGGAAAAATGAGAGATTTGGTTGGATTTCCTTATTATATACGGGGTTCTTACTGCCCATGTTAAAAATTTATTTTCCACATATTTTAAGGGGACCTTTGTGTCATCACTGTAGTATACATCCAAAGATTTTATGTTCCAGCCTCGACTGAATTGATGCCGTTTGCCATTAATGGTCATTTGAATTACCCGTGGTTTCCCCTGCTTGGAAAGATTTTTTTCACCAGTTTATTTACTTTGCTGAAGCCAGTTCTGAATCTCTGCCAGAGATCAGGAAGCTAACTGGCCCTGTCTGAAGAGTGCATGATGGTTAGCTCCCCACTTTGCTCACCGTAAGCTTAGGGAACCTGGTGATGCATTCTCTGCCTGGGTCTGGCGTCTGGTGCTGCCACCAGAAGCCATTGTGTGAACGAGTCCACACTAGACGCCCTGAGCTTGGGTTACTGGAAATAAACCCCGTTGCTGAGTTGTAGTTAGTCCTTCCTCATTTCAGTACAGGCGTGTCTGGCTTATTTGGTGTTTATTCTGTTTTTTGGTAGAAGGAAGAATAACGGAGAAGGAGATAAGAGATCATATTTCACAAGAGACTTTGTTCTATATTTGTGGCCCACCTCCAATGACAGACTTTTTCTCCAAGCAACTGGAAAACAGCCACGTTCCCAAAGAACACATTTGCTTTGAGAAGTGGTGGTAGGGAGCGGGCAAAGATAGAAAAGAGAAAGCTGTGAAATCTACCCAGGACAGCAACAGAGCTATGATTTGTGGCACGACAAATTTACCTCTGCTCAGCTTTTTTTTTTTTTTTTTAAGGCTGAACTAAGTGACCAGCTGGAGCATAAAAGAAAAACCAGCTGACAGACTTAGATGATAAATTTTTTACAAAGACTTCATTGATTCAATTATTTTTTACTTTATTGATTTTCTTTTATTAATAACTGATTATCTCATGATATATCTTGAATTGGTCAATATAGGTTTTCTTTCCTCTTAGGGAAAAAAGAGACATAGACTTAAATTTAATCATATAAGAATGCTGTTTTGTGTGTAAAATGTAAGCTATCTTCATTTGATAGCAACCTTTATATCTTATGCTCAATAAACTTATAATTTAAACACGGTCCTAATCATTTTACTTTGAAAATTCTTTATATTTAATGCCTTCATTCACCTCCCTGTAGCCCGAAGCCTTGCTTCTTCAGACCATCATACGTGGGTTTGGAAATGGAAGATTATGAGGAAAACTGCTTTAGGGAATTGAGTGTCTGGCATGTTTGCTTAATGTTAATGAATGTCCTAAGTGTGTTATCCTGACTAATTGTTAGTTTCTTCTCAAACGAAACCCTTCCTGTGCTCTGTGTCTTGGCCGCCTGCCTTCACACTCTGCAGGCGGCGGCTCCTTGTTTGGGACAAAGGCCCTGGTGACTGCTGCATTGCATGTCGGATCTGCCTTCAATGACTAGGCTGGCTGGCTCTAAAAATGTGGTGAGGATTGATTAGGGGGTACAGAGCCACTTCCAAATCCTGTCTTTCAGTCTTTTATTTCGTTTCTTTGCCAGAGTTCTTCTTGGCACCAGCAGGTCTTCGATACGTACTTGTTGAATGACTGAAAGAAAGCAACTGACCTGCAACTCCTTGCTAAGCCCAGGGTTTGGGAGGCAGTCCCCAGGATGGGTAGAGACAATGGTGGAGCCTCATCCCAAGGCTGCTCTAATGAAACTGCTAGAAAGCAGACTGCTGTTCTTGCCTTCCTTTAGATTTTTAGAAAATCCAAAAGGAGTGCATAGGTTGAGGCCAGGCCATTCTGTGACACACAGTGTCGGGCCCAAGGCTACCAGCTTGGAGAACACTGAGGGTAAAGGGAGTCTGGGAAGAAGGAAAGATCAGTTCTGGAGACACAGGAGCCCCAGTTGGGATTCTGTTCCTGAGCTGTTGGGAAAAGACAGCTTGCACCTTGTCATCTCTGTGGCTGCAGGCCTCACGGTGTGAGGACTTTGGAGCTTAAACACAGCATTGATTTATGGGGACTGATGATGGCTGGCACCAGGATTTTAGCCTCTGCCCCGTTTTGAATTTTGTCAAGTTTTAAGCAAAGATCATTTGTCAACCGTTTCAATCCCAGATTCAAATTCAGCAGGAGGAAGGGGCGGGGGGGGGGGGGGCGCTGTTGCCCTGATGGGCATTTCAAAGTTTACTCAAGGCAGAGGTCATCAGCGTTTCAGAGGTGAGGGGAATATGCAAAGCTCTGACTACTGTAAGGAGCCCTGGCTCAGCAACTGGCCCCAAAGGGCCCAGGCCCAAGGGCTGGGCTTGAGAGCTGAGTACTCAAGAGGCACGGGAGAATTAGCACCATGAGATTCAGGGGTGTGGGAGCAGCACGGGGGTCCTTCTGCTGACTGGCAAAGGCAGCCAGCGGGGAAGGGGACACAAGGTACAGAGCAAGTGGCCAACCCAGGCCTTTCCGCGCGGGGAGTGGAGGTGTAGGGCGAGCATCTTGAGCGCAGCATGAGATGATGGGAGCCCAGGGGGGTGCCAGGCACCGCCTCCGTCCACCCACTGCCACAGCCCGTCTGCCTGTGTCTGCTGTTGTCGCCGAGCAAGGTCCACCTGTCCTGCCCGCCCCCCCTGCCGGTGACTCCCTGTCACCATCTGTAACCTGCTGAGATAGGCCAGGTCATGACCTTTGCCTGGACTGTCGTTCTTCCAGCTCTGTGTCGTTTCGGGTGCCGAGGGCTGGACAGCATTTCTGGTCTGCTGGCCGAGAAGGGCCCGTTGCCCTCGTTTGCCAGGCTAGTCCAGATCTCCAGCCAGGGCGGCTTGAATTTATAGTGTGGTGGCTGAGAACGCAGACTGGAGAGGGCCCTTGCTGGGTTCATACTGCTCACTAGATAGATGACCTTGAGCGAGTCACTCAACTGTGGCATGCCTCAGTTTGTAATTACACACACGTGTGCACACTTGCAACTGCATATAAAACAGAGATAATACTACCTACCTCCTCGGGCTGTTACAGGGATTAAATGTGATAAAACCTATGAAGTGCCTGGTAGAGCACTGCTTGAGTGTGTTATTAATTTGCTATTCCTTGTCCTCTTCAGAAAGGACTTTAAGAGGCTGGATGACTTAGGTTTAGTCCACTGACCTTTAACCTCCCTGCGGGTAAGGCCCTGTCTTGTTCAGCAGTGTGCCTGGCACACGACAGGTGCTTTAAGGAATATTTCTTACACGGGTGAAAGGACCTGCCCAGAGCTGATGAGCTGTGTTAAAGGGATTCTTAAAGATCCTTCTGGCCTAATGAGTCTGTGGAAAGCTGTTTCTTCTTGTGACAGGAGACCCTTTTACAGTCTACGCAAGAGATAGGTTAAGCTGATGTACGAGTCTTCCTCAAACTTGAAGTGTTGCTGTGAGCATCAGCGCTCTCCAGAAAATGGATCAAATATGTGGTCTTTCCCAAATCGTCTACCATTCCTCACCAACAGGGTGTCTGCAGGTGGATGTGGAGCTCTGAGATGAAGATGTTCTCTGGAACCCTGGTTGTGGTCAGTAGCCTCTACTTACAAAGATCTTGTTATAAAAATGATGAAAGACAGAATCAGTGCTTGATTCTTGCCCTTTATCAATTGGCCTAGTAAGAGTTGCTGCCCTAGCAACCTCCAAAGATGGTCACCAGTGAGATTTTTTTAAGTATCATTATGGACTCATGACTTTCTGTACATTTGACTGTACCCATTGTGGCCAATTTTCCAACACTCAGCTTGTTTGGGGGCGACCCCTGTTGTGTTGGTTGTGTGGGTTGATGAGGGTTGGGGCTCTCAGAGGTGCCAACAGTGCTCTAACAAGCAGGAAGGAGGAAAAGGAGGTGAGTGTGGTGTCGAGAAGCTGTCTCAAGGAGGACAGACTGGCCAGCTGTGTCATGTTGCTGGTAGGACAGGAAAGATGAGAGTTCCCATGAGCGGCCATTGATTTAGCGACTGGAAGATCACTGGCGATCCCCCTAAGATGGGTGTTATCAAGGAAAGCATACGAAGAAGGAAAACCTATTGGAGTGGGTTTAGGAACAACTGGGAGAAAAGAAATTGTAATGAGTGGGTATAGATAATAGTTTCAAAGAATTTTTCTATAAAAGGAAGGAAAAAGATAGGAAAGGCAAGTAGAGTCAAGAGAACTCCCCCCCTTTTTTAATTCATTTTTTAAAATTTGTTTTGTTTGAAAACTTTTTATTTTGAAATAATTGTAGGTTTATAGAAGAGTTGCAAAGGGTTCCCCTTTACCTTTTACCCGGCTTCTCTGAATATCAACATCTTACATAACCCTGGTGCCTTTAGCCCAAACTAGGAAGTCAGCAGTACAGGTAAATTGGTACAGTACTGTTGACTAATCCACAGTATTTTTAAGATGAGGGAGATAACCGCCTGAGAAACTATGAAAGAATCATTCAGGGGGATACCAGTTGGGGAGGTGACGACTTTTTCTGGAGGATGATAACTCGGTTAAGTGTGATTGAGCATCTAGTATGTGCAGTCACCGGGCTAGAAACTGAAGATAGGAAAATATAAGGTTGTCTTGAGCAAGTCAAGGAGTTTGGAAAGCTTTTTTTTTTTTTTTTTTTCTGTGATTGAAAGTGGAAATGCTTTGGAGAGAAAAGTGGTGTTTTTTTGCACCTGTCGCCTGTGGAAAGAGAGCTGTAGAAGGTGGCTGGCTGGGCGAGTCACTGGAGGATGACATCCTGCGGGTGGAGGCGCGGGAGAGGCTGTGGGAAGGGCTGTGCCCACACTCGAGAGCTCAGGAGAGTTGTTCTACAGGGATGCACAGCTGCTGCACGTATGTTCACATGCACTTGCGTGAGCCGCAGTATGTGCGTGCTTGCGGGCATTGTCCGGTGTCGTGCTCCCCTGCCTGAGATTTTTTTTCTCTTTCTGGATGGAAAACAGCAATTTCCTTCATTCCTGGGTACTGCAGATGATCGTGTGCTGATAATTTAACCCAAGCGCTGTTCTTTCATTTTATTTTAAATGAAACTCAAAGACCTCTTCTATTCTCATCTTAGAGAAATAGATGCCTCGTCTTTCATATTATTCTTTCCTAATATGTGCCTCCGCAGCAAGCGTGGTGATGACTTTTAGGAAGATACCTCCTAACCCACCATCAGCTCGAGGCATGCATTGAAAAGTGTTTGTGTTCAGGAATCCAGACTTCCTCATTGTCAAGCAGCCATCTTGGTCCAGTCTGTTCCGGGTTCTTAATAACCCTGCAGGAGCCCATAAGTCTGACCTCGTCTCTTCCGTCTCATACCCAGGTCCCAGTTCACTCTGCTTCAGCTTCCCAAGATTCTGTCTCTTCCTTTGTCTTTTGTTAATTACTTGATAAATATGATTGTAAACAATCAAATAATATGAAAGTATGTACACCAAAATGCCGAAGTTTTCTTCTCTCCCATCCCATTCCCTGGCCTACATTGAACTTCTATATAAAGAGATTGCTAGGTATTAGACATTTTACAGTATATTCACCTTGTATACATATACAGATATGTGTGCTTGTGAATTTCAGTCTTCTCGCACACTCCACACTGTGGGCATATGCCGTAACGTATGTAACTGTGTCTCTATGATGAAAATCTAGTTGTTCCCAGTCTGGGCCTATTACAAACAGTATTGTGGTGAACAAACTTTTTTGTGTAATTTTTGTGCATGTATTCCTGTGGAATTACTAGAAGTGTCATTTCTGGATCAAAAGTTGGCTGGTATTGCCCAATTACCCTGTGAAATGCCTAGTAGTTGACTTATATTCTAATAGAGTAAGAAAGTACCCATTTCTCTACCTTCTGGCAGCACTGGATTGTCTAAGTCTTTAAAGTGTATTTTCCTCGTCGGTTGAGTCAAAGATGATTTTTAAAAAAAATGCCAGGAGATAGCTAAAGTATTTTAGCCATTTTTTTTTAGAATGGTGTGTTCACACTTCACGTCCATTTTGATGTCTGATTTGTAAATCTTTATAAAATAGAATGAATGCTAACCTTTTGCCTGTATATGTGTTGCAAATGTTTTTTCCTAGTCTATTATTTGTCCCTGAGTTCTGTTTGTTATAACTTAACACCAAAGTTTTATATTTATATATAAT